AAGTAGGCCTGTAGAGTTTGATGTTTCCTTTCTTTGCTTTCATGAATATTTAATCCAGCTCACCATCCCCAGAAGGTTCTTTCCAAATGAAAGCTAAAACAGCATCAACAACAACTACAACAGCAGCAACCAATATGGGAACATGCGCCCAATCACCGTATAGCCTCACAGAGATTTTTCGGTGTTACGTAATATTGTTGAATTTTCTTGCTAGTTAGCCTTTTGTGAAAAAAATAAAAAGCTAAATTTGAAAAAAACTGAAATATGAAATTGAAGAGTATAGCAAAAAGCACATGCAAGTTGTGATCCACACACCACACACTCACACACACCACATATACATACACTGAGAAAATTAAGGAACATGAGGTAAGAAAAGCTCTGCAGCAGAAGCTAGATAATAACATAAAAGCTTAAGAGGAGATAGTGAAGAGGGCAGAATGACTTAAGCAGTCTTTGCTGTTCCTCCTAAAGCAGTGTGTGTGAGTACACACATTAAGATTTTGTGTTCCACACATTTTATTATTGTGTTTGGTCTTTGAAGGAGAGAGAAAGCTCAGTATAAGGTGAAGATTGCAGAGGGAAGATGGGGGGAAAAAAAGAAAAAAGTGACAAGAAGAGGACAAAGGATAGGAAGAAAAGATAGAAATCTATATTGTAAGCTTTATGGATAAAGTTCTTATTCTTAGCCAATTATACTGCATATTTACCTGCTAAAACGACATCTGATTCTCACATTATTATCTCTAGATATCAAAACTTCAAGATCTCTTTCCACTGCCCAGTTACATCACTTCTGTGAATGCAAAGACAAAACTTTCTTTTTACATTATAATTTTGAAGTCCTTAAGCATTTCAGTAGAAAGCAACCCTTTATTTCTTCACTTTTAACATCAGAGTTTTCAGAATCCTGTTATGCAACACCACCTTTTGAGATTAAAGCAACAAATTGAAGTGGATCACGATGAAAAATCATATGCAAGGAAACAAAGTAACATTGCTGAATGATAAAACTTACATATACCTGACTAGCACGCACCTTGTAGGATAACATTTATCAGCTCTAACCTCCAACATAAGGACATACAGAAATTACATTTAGACTCAAGCCTTAAAAGTCACATGAAAATATTGGTTGGTTTATAG